CTTCCCTCCCTTCCCCCTCTCCCATCCTCCTCGGTCTTTCCCGTTTCCATTTTGTAGATAATTTCTGAATTAGGGGCTGCGCCAGTTACACGTGGCAGGGAAGGAAGATATCTTCACCACGTTTTTCTCGGGAATCGCGCTATCCCTCGAGACGTTTTCGCGATTCATGCAGGGCTGGCGCTTCAGCGACCCGCCCGCTCAAACCGGCCGTCTGGGACCGCCCGTCCGACCCGCCCGTTGGTGTCAACTCGCCCGTGTGGTTCTGCAGCTTCTTTTCTTGTTCCCACTAAACTCTCGTGCTCATCTCTCTCGTGCTCCATACTTATCGCTCGCCCTTTTCCCTTCTCTCCCCCCTCCCTTCCCTTGGTCCATGGGCTGCGCCCAGTTCTCGCTTTCAACTTCTTATCGGTTGACTTGGGAATCGCGCTATCGCTCCAGACCTTCTCGTGATTCGTGCGGACTGACAAAGTCAGTGACGCGCCCGCTCCACACGGACGTCTGTGCCTGCCCGCCCCGCCCGCACGTTAGGGTCCGCCCGCCCGACCCGCCCGTCAGATTCAGCAGTTTTTTCCGTGCCCCTGCACCCCCTCCTGCTAATCTCGCTCGTGCTCCATCCTGTTCCCTCCTCATCGTCCCTTCCCTCCTCCCTCGCTTCTCCTGTTATTTCACGTGGAAGGTAAGGAAGATCTACCCCCGAGGGGAGCACATTCGTTGCAGTCAGAAAGCTAGTAGGAGCAAGCAGTATGTAATGAGTGCTGAACATTATTGATCAGTTTTGATGGTTGGATCCCCTATGTCCGCTGTGGCGCTTTAGCGTCGGCGCCGGCTGCATGTCCTGTTGAAGTTGAAGCTCACGCTCAAGCGTTTCTGGGTTGCGCCCAAGCCGGCCCCATCCACAACAATGCCCCCGCGCGTTATGTCCTCACGATTTACTCCGAGAAGCCCTGGCCAGAGAGGGCTCGATCCTCAGGAAGGCCACTCTCGCTTGAGATTTCCTCGCGATCTAGCACGTCAAAGGGGTCCTTCAGAGCAGTCTTGCCGCTACTCGCTGATGCCCCAGCGCCCGTTTCGCCTGAGACTCCTCACCCTCAAGCGCCACAAAGGGAGTCCTGCAGAACCAGTTTGCGGCTACTCGCGGATGCCAGAACGGCCTTTTCGCTTAATTGTTTGTCGCAGTTCAGACCGGCAGGGGGGGCCCTGCCCTTAAGAGCACAAGTGTTGTTTCTCGCAGATGCCGGAATGGCTGTTTTGTTTAAGACGTCATAGCAATTCAGCAGCACAGGGGAATCCGTCAGAGAAGTTTTGCCGCTATTTGCGAAAACGCAAGGAAGCCCCAGGTCGCTCCAGGGATATGTGTTCGGGGAGCGTTTTCGGCACCTCGAATCCTTTTTGTGTTTTCCGTTACCCCTTGGATTGGAGCTCGGATCTTTTGCAGGGTTTACGTAGGCTCCTAGAGATAGCCCCTTGGACTGTGGCTCGAATCCTCGGTGTTTCACGTATGTTCCTATATATTGCCCCTTGGATTGGGGCTCGAATCCTCGGTGTTTCACGCGTTGCGAATCCTCACCGCTCGCTAACGTCTAACGTCGCACTGATTTTCCATGTGTCGTGCGAGCTGAAAAGGGAAACTGTTTCGGGAGGTGTTGGCTCGACCTCAGCGGGAATGGCGGGTGATTCGTTTTTCCTGTTTGTGTACGTTTTGTTTCCCGACGAGGAGCTGGCATCGTGATGTATTCATCTTGCATGTCGAAGCATGGCGCATGAGACAGAATTGATTGACCATAAACCAGTAGACAAGCCATAGCCTTGCAAAGGACCCAACCATATGCAGTTGTGAGCGCTGTCGTTGTATGCACCGCCGCATGGAGGGTGTGCCAACATGTGTGCGGTGGGCGCATGCGAACGCAGCCACTTGGGGCCGTCGGTGGAGCTGCCTATGTGGCCACGAAACGTGTGATGGGTGTGCCGAAATAGGTGCGGTGGGCGCATGCGAACGCAGCCGTTGGGGCCGTCGGTGGGGCTCCCTATGGGACCACGAAGCGTGTGCGGGGTATGCCAACATGGGTGCGGTGGGCGCATGCGAACGCAATCATGGGGACTGCCTGTGGAGATCCCACTGGGGCCGCGAGGGGTGCGGGGACCGTGCCGAAATGAGTGCGGTGGGTGCATGCGAGCGCAGCCACTCGGGCCTTCGGTGGAGTTGCCTAGGGGGCCACGCAACGTATGAGGCGTGTGCCGAAACAGGTGCGGTGAATGCATGCGAGCGCAGCCACTTGGGCCGTCGGTGGAGCTCCCTACGGGGCCACGGACCGTGTGAAGGGTGTTCCAAAATGGGTGCGGTTGGCGCGTGCGAGCGCAGCTATTGGGGCCGTCCATGGGGCTCCTTGTGGGGCCACGAGGCGTGTGAGGGGTGT